AGTTAAGGCTAAAAATGGTTGATAAATATTTTGGCATCTGAATGATTAACTTAAATTGAATACAATATTTTGCAATGAAAAAGAATCTAACTGAGCCGACTTGGGGTTAATTTATTATACTACATATTCCTTATTTCAAGACCAAGATTAATTGCCTGAAGTTAACCTTGTGTATTGTATAGTTGTTTATACGGAAACATAGAATACTCCAGTAAAATTCGCGTTGACAGAACTGTTACAATAACAAACGGCCGTAAACGCGAATAATAATAAACGGCCGTAAATACAAATGCGCCATATAATATTAATTAAAAACAAGTAGGTATAATGTTAATAGAACTTTACTGAGTTGCAGTAAACAGTTAATGAACTACACACACTCCTAATACACTCGCCCGGTAACACGAGAATTGAAAAATAATTAATTCATTTACAATATTTTTTTACCGACTGTATCAATTATTTTTCTAGAATAAACTTTCTTAACAAAGTTTGTGTATGTATACATATTAGGTAAGGGTACACGGGTTAAGTACAAAAACTGCACTTCAAAGCATATATCGTGATACGTTTTTTACTCTTCCAATAATAAAAATGTACCTATAAGTTCTTTCAACTTGAGAACATTCGAATGAAAAGATAACTTAATCGTATGAAAATACTTTGTCAATACTCTAATACAAATAAAAACGCAATATGTACTAAGCAATTACAATTATTAACTATACGGACATGACAATATTGTTCAGTCACGTATGACTTCCCGTTACGATCGATCTTAGTTGATCTGAGTTGAAGACGGAACCGTAGAAAAGATATAGAAGACATATCTTTTCTACGGTTCCGTCTTCCGTATTGTCAAAAAAACGTAATAGCCGAAGATTCTAATATTGAATTAAGTAAAATTTATTAGAATATTCAGTAAAAGCTTAATTTAAATTTTAGTAATACAAAAGAAAATGAATGTGTGCTCTGTAATTACAAATGCTTTGCGCATAAGCGGTAAGGAATAAACGTATTTGGTAGTTAATAAAGTTTTGTTTAACGAAAATACACATGTAACATATACTTTATATATTTATGGCTCTCCTAGAAGTATAAAGAAAATAGACCAAGTAATCTAATACCTTTAAACGAGCAATTCTTGTATATATATAATTGGAATCTCGGAAACGACTCCAGCGATTTTCATAAAATTTAGTATGAGCGTAGATTCGGGGGCGAAAAATCGATCTAGCTAGGTTTCATTTTTATAAAATGTCATTTTATCCCTGTTTTCAGGGAATGAAAAATATCATTCGAACATGACGGTAAATTTCGCCGAAAAAAAAATTTAATAGCTCGGTCGGTAATCGGGCTGCCCCGAAACAGAAGGCCGCGCTTCGTGTCACGATCATTTACACACTTATTTTTTTACTTTTTTTTCTATACCAGATCATTGTCCTCCAGGTACTCATTTTAACAACTGTAAGAAATCACCTGTTAAATTTTAATTTTTAAATTTTTACATTAAAGCGTCATGAATTGATCGTATAATACGATCAATTATTCATGACGCTTTAATATTAATTAATTATTCGAATAAACAACATGAAACATATATACGAATCGTATGTAAACATTTAGAGTTATGGAAACTGTTGTTGCTTACTACAAATAAAATTAGTCGGATTTTGAGGACATCCAGAGTTGTACATTGGAATACGAACAATCTTCCAGGAGGTCTCCAATACGGTTTTCAGAGAACGAAAAGAGCTGTGTCTCTCACATCAGTCTTATCGTCCTTAGCTATAGGTACCCTTAAATATTCTCCGTCTTCAGGTATACCTACCCATCCAAAATGGGTTCCAATATGATTTGCAATACGGGCCGTTTTCTTCGTCACTTCACTGTTGGTGATAATAGCACCGCTATGCCATAGGGTCTATAGGTTTTTTTTTTGTGAGAAGTTTATTTATTTATTTATTTATTTATTTATACTTTATTGTACACCAAAAATAAAAATATATACAAAGCAAATTACAAATGAATATAAAAGGAAGTACAATAGGCGGTCTTATCGCTCAGAAAGCGATTTCTTCCAGACAACCATTATGAAAAGAATATTTGCTAATGAGACAAAGAAGAAAGCAGAGGGAGGTGTACATCAATCACTTATGAACATCGGATGAAGGCATTTATACTTCAATGAGATAGTCAAAGATATCGGGAAAAATAGGAAAGGAAAAAAGAAAGCGTGAATTCACAGTTCCAAGTAATGAGCTTTTAATTGGTTTTTAAAAGAAAGAAGTGACTTAGCTTGTCGAATGTAAAGGGGCAAAGAATTCCACAAACGCACAGCTGTCACTGTAAAAGATTTTTTGAAGAAGGAAGAGGAATGTACAGGAGTTTGGAGGGAGAGATTGGCAGAAGAATGAAGGGACCTTTCATGGGATAAGGAAAGATATTCGAAGCGATGTTTTAAGTATTTCGGAGTAGAGGGATTAAACAACACACTGTACAAAGCAGAGAGAATATGGGTATTCCTGCGAAGGCGGATTGGGAGCCACTTGAGCTGTGTACGAAAATCGGAAACATGATCATATTTACGAAGCTCAAATATGAATCGAAGACACAAATTTTGAATCCGCTCAAGTTTATTAAGCTGTACTTCGGTAATGTCAAGATAGCAAATATCAGAATAGTCAAGGATGGGCAGAAGTAGTGAATGAGCGAGCGCAACTTTAGTAGCAGTAGGAAGAAAATTACGCAGTCTTCGTAAGGAGCCTATAGCAGAGAACATTTTCTGACTAGTCTCATTTACCTGTGGTGTCCATGTCAGACAGGCGTCAAAAAATATTCCCAGATTCTTCACCTTTTTACTGTACGGGATGTGAGTACCGTTAAGAATAATTGGGGGTAAAGAAGACCAGTCGATTTTAGCGGCCAACCTAGAACTCCCGATGATGATGGCTTGAGTTTTCGTAGGATTGATAGTCAAACCATATGCCTTACTCCAATTAGAAATACAGGCCAAATCACCGTTAGTGCTTTCAATCGATATAGGCAGGTTTTCCGGAGACGATTGTGTATAAATCTGAAGATCATCAGCGTACAAGTGGTAGGAAGAAGATAGGTGAGAGCTTATCGTATTAATGAAGATTGCGAACAGAAGAGGAGACAGCACGCCGCCTTGTGGAACGCCGGCAACATTGTTATTCCAGGAAGAAAAAACATCCTGCACCTGAACACGTTGTCGGCGACCAAACAAGTAACTATGAAACCAGTCAACCACAATCGGAGATATGTTGAGAGAACGCAGAATAGCGAGCAATATGTCATGATCTACAGTATTGAATGCATTGCTGAAGTCAAGCAAAGTCAGTACAGTAAGTCTTTGATTATCCATGATTGAAGTTTGTAATACGAGTAGGTGGTTCCTTTTGTGTGATAACCCCCATTGTCCTCTAAAGCTCCCTTGGCGTTACTAAATGTCAAAGAATTGAAACGCAAAGTATAACAGTGTGCAAAAGTATAAAAGTATATAATAAATATGATAGAGCCACGCAACCAACTTCGCCTGTTACACAGTGTTGAAGCAACTGGACGGACCAGGGCGGTCAGGTCCGTCCTGGTAGTCGTCCGACGTGAAGTGCAAGTGTTGTACATCTGCGTTTCGTGTAGTGAGTGAGATAGCCGGGGCGTTTTTATTAAAAAGGCGCATCTGAAAACCTAAGGGTGTTGTAATTGTCAATGGGCGGTGCTAATATATATAACATTAGTTGAAACGCGTGCTGGCTTGCCACCTTCTCACGTAAGAAAAAAAAATACATCTACTTTACACTGTGTCTTCGTGCCAGTCTTCCGAGGTTCCGTGGTGGTTTCCCGAATGAGCCTACCCGTTCGTGGATTAGCAGAAGCTGTTGATAGATTTAAATTTTAATTTTACATTTGATATTTAAACCACTATTTATCTACACTTTAATCTAATATAACTTAGAACTATTGAGAACAACGTAGATAGAAGACGTTGACATTTTCGTCGGTGCAGCAATCAGCAGTTTAGCTTAGTGGTTAAACCGTCTGCGCGCGGAAGAAAAAGGTTCGATTCCCACAGCAGCGAGAATCTCTTCTACTATATATAAATTGGCGGCGATTCGTAAAATTCGAGTCGGAATTCTTAACAAAGGGCTACCGGTCTATAACATTTTGATGCAATATGATATAAAATATCAATAGCTACCATGCTAAAAAGATGAAACATCCGGTTTTATCGTTAAAAAAATTGAAATAACGATTTTTTGTTTTGTACGTGTTTTATTCGAAAGGTGCCTGAATGAATGGACGAGTTACAAATTACAATAAAATCGAACGTTAAATGTTTGCGTTAATTAAAACAATGCATTGAACTCTAACTGTGACAAGCACGCGAGTAAACTTATTGTGCATCACATGCTTAAAATTCATGAAAAAAATAAACGTAAAAAATAATATTACAGTTCACTAGAGCGTCCCGCTATCACATCAAATTTATTTATCTATAGAACAGTTGGTTAAACCTAAACTTTATATGTAAGAATCTGACAGTTCAAGGTCTGGCAATCGATGTATTGTGGGTGACGTCATAACGTCTACCGCGGCCCCATGCGTTCGCATCGCCGAACCAGCTGTATGCCGCGCTTGGCGAATTCAGAATTCAGTCAAAGCCAGTTGCCCGTCGCTTCGGCCGACGTCGCTTCACGCTTGCTCAGTCAGTTGCCATTGCCGCCTCCTCGCAGCTCGACATACGCACATATTTTATATGTAACAGCTAAAATTCACAATGTTTTGAACATCAGTGAAATTTATTAAAGCACTTTGCAATATCTTAACCTTAAACCGTCCCGTCCTGTCCTGTGTAAATTCAAATTCTTTCAATTTGCTTTTGGTTCCTCAAAGGAGTCGCGTTTTCGTGTGAAAGTTGGTGTGGCTATTTGATTTTTTTTCGATAAAAGACTAACAGCTGTGTTAGTTAATACAAAATGAAGGATAAGAGCATGAGGTGAGTTGTTAATATTTAACTAATTTATATTTTTAATCGCCTTTGTGACCTTTATTATGCATTATGCCAAGTATTGCATGTTTACAAAGATTCACCTTAGCCTTAGGTTACAAATATTAACATCAACCGTTGTATCTGTTATTTTCGCGAACACTACTAACAAAGTTATTACGGATCGATTTGCGTTTAGTTAAATTTCTATTAGTCACGAAGCGGAAAATGTCAACAACGTCGGGGAACTCGGAAGTTAAAACAAAAATGATAAAAAAATTAAATGGTTTTATCTACAACATCATCAATAAAATTGTTTATTTTGAATAGTATAAGGATTATTTATTTTACTTTTTTATTATCTTCGCAATTATTTTATTGTCCTGTCTCGGGCACAGATTATTTAAATCTATTTGTAATTATTTGCCAATACCAAAACTCTATGTGAGGATTTTCCTTGATTGACTAAATTTATGTTTAATGTTTATAAACACAGTGTGAAATTATTTTTCCTTTAATTCCTCAAAACTGCACTCCCTAACGCAAATAATAAAATACAACTGATAGTTACTAAAAATTGAACTTTCATACATACCACAACCTCTCCTGGTGTAAATTTATAATTTCATATAAAATTTCGCTTAGTTAGATTTACTCAAGTAAAATGCATTACTTGAGTGGAGTTTACTATTTTAAGTAAGTTGTTGATATTAGGTTTGTATGACCTCTGAAACCGTAGATTATATTCTATATAGTTACGAGCCACGGGACTTAGATAACAAAGGTATTCTAAACTTTTAGTCATTTGGTCTTAAACTATCGCTTGCCTGTAATCGACACATTTTAATGGTATTGTATGAAATGGCTGTCAATCGGTCGTCAATCTGTAAATTAATATAGTGCAATTTTTGTGAACGCATATTTAGTTATAATTCATATTTAAAGCAACAATAGGAATGTTATTCAACAATACGGAATGTATACTCAAAATTCCTCCAAATTACAAATCATTCATAAATTACACGCGTTTTGTTATATTAATAAATATACTTTTCTATTGGGATATACTTAAATCTTTTTGTTATTGCTGAAATGCATTTCGTAGAGTTCTTATATAATAAAAGTCGCCTTCGATTGCTCGTTGCATCTAAATCTGATTTACCGTAATCAAATCCAAAGATATTATTGAAAAGCAAAAAGTAACAGAAATCCTAGACATATTTCGTTTTTCTACAAAACTTTTCTACTACTTGGCAATCTTAGCACGTATTATGAAAACACATATCTACGCACTTATTTCCAACAACATTATATCCGATATAGATAAGCAGGGACCGGGACGATTATCAAGTTAAAAAAACCTTTAAATATATCCATGAAAGAAAGCAAATATCATAAAAAATTGTGAGGAATAAGTAAGAAGTTTTACAATTTAATGTCACGAAGCGATAAGTCATGTTCGTTAAAAATGTGGGCGTTAAAACAACAGAAATCGTGTTGCATAGATACATGCACATGAAGCACGTAATATTTATTATACAGCTTAAACACATTTTTAAACGAAATGTGATACCTTTTTGCTAACAGTTGAGCGTGAAGGCGTGCTTTCACGTATAAGTTAAACTTCTATTGTTAAACTCGAAGTTTAACTATTCCATGAAACCACACATGATTTTATGTAATTAGTTAAACTTCTCTTCAAACACATCCACTCAGTACAGTATTTTTTTTTCGAAATTGAGAAGTGGAAGTGGTATACCTTGCCGATTCTGCTATTCAGATAAATAGGTAGAGCCAACTATAAATAAATGTTGGCAATGCATCTCTACAAACCCACAGGCGTTGCAGATATTCATGGGTGGCGGTAACCACTTGAGGTGGGACCGCCTGCTCGCTTTAAAACTTCTCATAAAACAACTGTTTGGCTTCATTACCCATGATATAATGATTATCAACAATATATTTCTGCACTAGTTAGCAGTGACATGTTAAGCTATGATTTCATATTTTAATTGAATGCTATTTTACACTATCATTTAGGATCAAATTCAATTCAAAACATTACAATAAATGTATTGAGAAGCAACAGTGAGTATATTAATCTCTTTAAAAATATCTCTGAGCGAACTCCGGGCTCCGATATTATAGATTGCTTGGATAGCTCTTTTTTGTAGAATACATATAGAATTCATATCGGATGCACTACCCCACAACAAAATGCCGTACGACAAGATGCTGTGAAAATAACTGAAGTAAACAAGTCTGGCAGTGTCTATGTCTGTTAGCTGCCAAACCCTTCTAATCGCAAAAACCGTGGAGCTTAGCCTATTCGAAAGAGATGATATTCCCCATATATGAGATGATATATGGGGACTCCACTGTAGCTTTGAATCTATTGTAATTCCCATAAATACGGCAAACTCAACTGGATTAATGGGTACTTTATTTAATATTAAACTAAAACTTTGCTGTCTTATACTAGGAAGGGTAAAAAGAACACATCTAGTTTTTTTGGCATTTAATACCATATTATTAATAGTAAACCAGTGGAAGATATGCGAAAGTGCATTATTCACCTCGTCATAATTTAATACATTTCGGTCAACCTTAAAAATTAACGATGTATCGTCAGCAAACAGTACAACATCACACAACTCACTGGCATAAAAGGGGAGATCATTAATATATACTAAAAATAATAATGGACCCAAGGTTGATCCCTGTGAGACACCCAATTTCATAGGGGTCCCAGCGGAATTAATATCATTTATTGATACTTTTTGCATTCTATTACTAAGATAAGACGCAATGAGATTGTGGGCGATGCCACGAATGCCATAATAATCTAGTTTGTGAAGTAGGGTTTTGTGGTCTACGCAGTCGAAAGCTTTTGAAAGGTCGCAAAAGACCTATTGCATCTTGCAACCTTTCCCAGGCATTATAAATATTTTTCACAAGTGCGACACCCGCATCTGTTGTCGATCTGCCTTTAGTGAATCCATATTGCTCATCATGAAAAATTTGATTTATATTAAAATGTACCAATAGTTTAGTTTGAAAATGTTTGTACCCGCTTATGAAATTTAGGGTCGTAATTCCACTGCCTCATACTGTATAATTCATACAGTGAATCCCTACTCTTATACAGCGTGTCATTACCATCGCGACAATAAATGAACACACATATAGAGGATAACTTTTAAAAATTGTATTAAACATTTACATTCTTTAAGCATCAATATTTAGCGAGTTATTAAATTTTCCAAAACAAAGAATTTTAGAACACCCTTACGTATAAAAACTGTAACGTAAAGTTCATTTTTAAAGGTCACAAAGCATATGAATGGGTTGAATGAATTTAAAAGAGACAAAACATACTGTTAGAAGGAGAGGCTTGTAATGCGAAGCTGTGGCGCTCGTTGTATAGAATGTTACAAATTTTGTTTCTTTTTTACTTAATTAGTTTGTTTGAAAAATATTTTTTTTAATTATGGATTTTGTTTAACGTTAATATTTTTTTTATGATTATTGGCAAGTAGCGTTAGACGTGTGTTCATTTATTGTCGCGATAGTAACGACACGCTGTATATATCCACTGTCCAGTCACTAAATTTTAATGTTTAAATATTGTGTGCGATTTAAAAGTATCGTTATAAGAAGATATGAGAAAGTCAATCTATGATGTGTTTCTTAGCAGGTGTAATAACTTGAAAACAAACTATACGAGATTCCATAACCTAATGGACAGTAGCTATATCTGTATATTTCGTAAACGTGCTATATATGTATATTTATTATTATATTTTATTTTTAAAACATCGTATCATGTACTACGTATACTATGACATCAGTCATAGATAATTTTTCTCGAGCGTTAAAGATTGTAAACGTGATATTATCAATAGAAATCATTGAACTTACACTTGGCAGATATGATGACCAAATAGTAGCTATACAAAATAATTCCAAATTAAAATATAAAAGATCTTAAAAACCGGTCAAGTGCGAGTGGGACTCGCGCACGAAGGGTTCCCTACCATTATCTATAAAAACGGCAAATAATCATGTCTGTTGTATCGGAGCTCTACTTAAATATTTTTTATTGCATTTTTTTATTTTTTGTTACAGCGGCAACAGAAAAACATCATCTCATCAACTATCTAACTATCACGGTTCATGAGTTACAGCTTGGTGACAGACGGACAAACAGACAACGGACTCTTAGTAATAGGATTTTTACCCTTTGGGTACGGAACCCTAAAAATGATCTGATATGTACATCAACTCTCTCACCCTTTGATATTGTTTAAATATGTATGAAATATATAGATACATCTTAAAGCAATGTTCAATGATAAAGTAACATTGTACAATGTTCTTAAAAGATTTACGTACGTCACGTAAGTTATAAAACGGTATTTGTTTACGTTTTTAGATTTAATTATTTATGTACGTTTCACATCACAAAAACGGAACCCTCTTTTTATCAGAATCTGTTAATAATTGTTATTGCAGCTAAGTACTTCAAAGTCCGTAGATGTACAGCGTATCCTTTGTGTTAATCATTTTACGTAACAGATAACTTTATATTCTACTTATCATTAGCATGCGATTACAAGTGAATCACGGACTACTTACCAATCATTGACCAATATGAATAAGTTCGTTTATTTATAGCAAACTTAACGACTTAATTTAATTTTGAAACTAACAATAATTTTAAAGAATGAAGATTACTTATTCATGTTTTTAGGTAAAATAAATGGTTTAAAATGTATATTCACACAATTAGTTATGACACAACCACGAAAATCATCTGAACTATTTAACATTTCGCAGACAGCGAATATTGATCGATATGTAACTATTCTCATCGTTTGAATAATATAATCACACAGATTTATGTGGTAATAACGTAATATAATATTATACCTAAATATAAAATCAAATGACGATAACAACCGATATACATGTAGATGCTGTTCATGTTTTCAAGCTATCATCAATTT